AACTAATATTAAGTTCTTTTTTCTACTGAAGTGACAAAAATAGAATAAAAAATAAATAATATAAATAATTAGATGAAATTTCCTTTTTAAACCCACTGAACACACGTGTGACTTAAAAGTTGCAATGAGGACTGAGATAACAAACCAAACAGGGGGTGGCGCAGCATCTCATGATCATGTGGAAGATCGGCGAGTAAAGGGTTTGGGATTGGACCACCAGGGAAAGGGAATCGKGCTAAACGTGGTCCTGTAGCCAGGGGGTCCACCAGAGGATGAGGGCTTGAACCTGGGAGAAGATGGGACACGCTGTGAGTACGGATATGTTTTAAAGCTTCAGCTGAATTACTGCTGATAAAAACTTCACCTTGACCMAGAGGGTCCTGCTGGTGGAGGTGCAGGTGGGAGTGGATATGAGAGTGTTGGTGATGATGAGGCGTCACGTTAAGCATCTGCAGCCGAGCAGCCGGATCCGTGGCCACAGAAGCCATCCTCTCGGCATGGAGCCGCTCTGCAGTGAGCCGCTCAGCGTAACTCAGCTCCGGGCGCAGCTGAGGCCCCGCCAGCGCCAGCCTCTCTCGCTCCAGGTGGCCCAGGCCGGGATGGAAGGGCACAAAGGGGTGAGAAGGCCCGGGTATATGAGGTAGACCCAAAGCTCCATGTCTCGCAAAGTGCTCTATGTGGTTGGCTGATGGGTGCAGAGTCTCCAGTTCTGGGGGTTTCACTTCGAAGCCCGGTTTCATCCTCTCGCGGAGCTCGCGGTCYCTGAGGTTCCTCAGCTCACGTTCTCTGAGGCTGGGCTCGGTGCTGTACAGGCCGGGCATGTGGTAGGCCAGTAAGGGGTCCCCRGGGCTCAGCGACACGTAGAAAGGATGGTTGCGGTTGGTGGGGGACATGACATGGGGCCGGGCGTAGTCGTTCAGCGTGCGCATGGCTGCCGTGTCCGGACCGATGTAGGGCGGCACCGCTGCGACGGTGGCGGGMGGCGGCTCAAAGGAGGGGCGCCCRTGGACTTGAGMTACCATTTGCACCTCACTCATGCGACTGTCGTGGGAGGAGCTGGAGGCTCTCTGAAAACAAAGGCGCACAGGGAGATGCATCGTTTTGTCTATAAGACGCTTTAAAAGCAAACATGAATGAAKGGATTTACTTACAGARTTCCTGTCAGCGTCCCGTTCACGGTCTCTCTCCCGGTCTCTCTCTCGCTCTCGCTCTTGCCGAGCGCTGAGCTCAGCCTCTCTTCTGGACCGTTCTATGGCCTCCTCTCTTTTCTTGGCCAGCTTAGAGGATGACAGTGGGGTRAAGAAAAAATCTGTTCTCGCACACGAATTGTAGCCGCGATCCAAGTGTTTGATAAACCTGGAAAATAGATCATCAAACAAACCGTCAACCCACTTTTCTCTCAAATATTACAGAGAAAACAATGACAAAAAGACACTCCTAACACTTTCGAAATATTATATTAAATGACAGTAGTCTTTACAATAAAGTCTCTGTAGGAACYGCATTAACAACCAGCAGTGAAATAAGTTTACAGCTTAAAAGTTTTACAAAAATCAGTACAGAATTAAAAACTCCAACCATACTTTGTGTAAAAATGTGCACAGACAGATTTACAAACCAAGTGCATCATTTACTGAGCATTAGGAGCAGAGCACTCAGGAGCTTTCAGCCATTATCGACGTGTCTGAGTGTTATTGATTGCTTARTGTCTAATCAGAAAAACTAATGGGAGAAACACTGAGGCTAAAAACAAAACATGGATTTAAATACATACATTCAATCAACGGATAACTTGAAGAACACTAAATAAAGAAATTGTTAAAGCAACTAAAGTGAATATCTTGAGTCACAAAGATTAATCTTGTGCTRGATTTTGCAGCTGCTGGCTCATTAATTTAGTTTATAATGCTGCTGTAGGAGACATTAACTAAATTACTGCACATATGAAAAAAAAAATCTCAAATTTATGCGATTTACTCTGTGGCATCGTGGTGAGACGCATTAGACACACAGCAGCTGATGTTAACAGGTGATGAATGTTGTTCAGCTAGACTTATGAGGTGGGTTGAAAACAGTTTTTAACAGTTAAGACGTAACTTTTTTGTTTATTTGCACTTTATCTGCACCTGTCAGAAATATAACCARCCACTATAAGTTTTCTTACAGAATTTCAACCAAAGTTTAAGATGATCTCTGGGTTTTGTTTGAAATGCATCAAAATACTGTAGTTGTCAGCCACTGGATTACAAAAGTCACCAAACCTGCTACTTCACTGCTAGAAAAAACTTTGAATACACTTTGCAGAATTTTATTTTGTCACATTTATGTGTCTGGGAAGGTAAACCCAGGAAGAAATGTTTTAAATGAGCCACAAACCTTTTCTTCTCTACTGTTTGAGAATGTTTTAAGGAGATTTTTGACATTTAAACTCCTTTAAAGAAGATAAACCTGGACCATTTCTGGCAACTTGGGATAAAAGTGGCTTTAAACGTACCGTGCCGACTGGCTGGCATGACTTGCCATGTTGACAACGGTTGGCTCGGGTGAGGGGCTCCGTGGAGGAGAAGGCGGACTCTCGATCTCTTCCACTTCATCCAGCGGCTCTTCTTTAATCTGAACCTGTGGCCCCCCCATGGCTGCGTTTGGCGAGGGCCTGGGAGGAAGAGCTGGGAACGACGGCTGCAGGCTCGGGACGGGGCCGCCGCCAGACGATGCCACGGAGGCGTGGGGGAGGGGAGCTGCAGCTGGCGGATGAGAGGGGGCAGCGCTTTTGACGGCGGCGTTCTGCGCCTGGGAGGTGGCCGGAACTGGGGCCGGGTGCGAATGCGCCGGCAGAGGATGCGACATGAGCTGAAGCGGGGGCGGAGGGGCACCTGGAGGATGCTGGTTGGGCAGAGCGTTGAGGGGCTTTAGAGCGGGAGGAGGGGGCAGATTAGAGGGCATCTGGGGGAAAGGTGCTGCTGACTGGTGAGGCAGCTGCTTGTGCGAAGGTGGGATGGGGGTGGTGGGAGGAGGCTTGACTTGGGGGACAGGAAGTGGAGGCTGTGGGACATCCCTGAAAAAGGGTGGAGGACGCTGGGCAGCTTGGGGAGGTGGGCCACTCGGCTGCAGCGGCTGTGTGGAGCTGAGAGCAGGTGTGATGGGGAACGCAGGAGGAAGAGGAGGAGGAGGAGTATCCCGACCAGGTGCTGCTGGAGGAGGCCGTGGTCCAGGCACAGACTGAGCCGCTGGCTGCACTCGGCTGTTCGGACCTGCTGGCTGAGGCGGATCAGGTGAGGATGGCGGGGGGCTTTGAGCTAAGACAGACGAGGGACGGATGAGGCTTTGTGGAGGCTGAGGAGTGATGGGAGGGCCCTGAGKGGGGTGGGCCTGCAGGACAGACCCATCAGCCGGAGCGCTGGGCTCGGATGGAATCCCGTTCGGCTGCGCAGAAGAGTCGGAGTCGCTCTCGTTGCCCTGCTGAGGGCTCGGAATGCTGGGAGACGAGCTGCGGTTGTCCTGGTCGATGTCTTTGGTGTCGCTGCCATCGTCCTGAGCRCTGGGGCTTTCTGAGGAGCTTTCCTCCTCAACCTCTCCCTCAGACCGGGAGCCTGGTGGATCCTGGAGGAAAAAACAAATTWGATTCATATTAAACAGCCTTGAAATATACAGTATTCTTCAATGAATCAGGACTTCTGGTGAAGAAGTTACCTGCGTTTTGGGCCTTTTAGGTGTGATTTTTCCAGGCTCGTCAGGCTCCAGAGCAGGACTTTCCCGTACGCGCTTTGTTGTCTTTGGGGCGGACACTTCCTCTTTTATCCTCTGCACACAGTTACACACTCTGTCAACTTTTACAAAGACTAAACTCTCATTGCTGCTGTGGAAAGAATTTACCCTKTAAGCTAGAYCTTTTGATCAGTTCTTAGTAAACARCATTAAAATCAAGCATATTACTGCTTTATATAAGTTGCATGAACAATGATTTATTTAGCTGCTTATTTTATTTTTTATGTACATAAAAGACCTTATTTGTTTTCCTGGATGACTCGGTCTTGTCTGCAGATCTAGTCCCACTTGTGAAGGGCTGCTGTTCCTCGTTGGAAGGGGAGCCGGTGAACCTCCTRAGGCCACTTCTTAAAGATGACATTTGCTTTAAAACAAATTGTTTTACAGATTYTTAATTAATACCAACAATAAATGGCAGAGTCGGGAAGTTGTTTCTCCTGTACAAATAGATTTTAGAAACTTTGCACAAATCTGTAAGTACTAATGAAAAAAAAAAAGAGCCTCGGGCTTACAGGTGCTTTGCTCTGCCGAGTCCTCATGCCATGCTTGTTGTTCACCTCTTCCTCTGCTTTCACAGGCTTGAACATAAACGAAGAGCCCCCAGACTTTGGAGCCGGCGGCAGACATCCGTGTTTGTTTTCGTACGTGCGGCAAGTCGTGCACAGCAAAGGGTTGTCTCTCCCACCCTGGTGCCAATCCTTCGAATCTGTTAAAAAGAGCAAAGACTTTAAGCACAAGTTTCAAAACGCCACTCTCCTCCTTAATAAAATAAAACTTACTTCTGGTTCCACAGTGGCTGCAGATCTTAATTTCTTGTTCACTGTCCTCACTGTCAAGATCATCCTCACTAGCCGAACTCGCATCCACTGCAAAGAAAAAAATGTCAGTTTAGACGAGGATCACACAAGTATTGTTCATTTCAATAAACACAGACGACATTTCTGTAAAACAATAGGAGAACCTGGATAATTTCGAGCTGGCGTGCTGACGGGAGCTGCTGCAGATCGGGTCTTGGCTTTACGAGAGGACGGCTGCCGGCGCTGCTGTCGGAAAGCTCTGGTTCCTGCGGCCTCTGGAGTCCTCTTCCAGTGGTAATAAAACGTGATCAGCTCTCCCTGATGGGGAAAAAAAACATGTTTATTAATGTACAGTACTCATTGTTGAAACACGGGGGGCTCGTAATTTATTATAACTTGTTTATTCTGCACAAACCAAACATGCACTTACTGTCTTTTTGCTGGGGAGGAAATCTTTCCGAATGCGGAAAAAATTCTTTCCATATTGCCTCAGGCCTTTGATGAAGCGTTTCTGGTAAAAAAAAAAAAAAAACATGGAATTCTGTTTAAAAGCAAACTCATTACCACTATTAAATACTGTGCATCTACAAAACATCCAAATGACATAACTAAACTGGATATAAATAATTAYAATTATCAGGACATAAGTAATAAATGTAAACCAATCTAATACATCTTTGAATTATGCCAATTAGCCTTTTGAGAATAGCTTTTAGCAAGAAATGTGAATAACGTGGGAAAAAACGTTTATCAACACTTACATTGTATTTTTGTACCTTCAAAAGACATTTATCAACCCAGTGTTAACTAACACATTAGTCTTACCACATCATCCTCTGACCAGCACTTTTCAATAAGTTTCGGTAATGGCCTCTTGACTAGACGCTGGAGAGCTTTCGCTGCATCATAATGGCTGGCATGAAGCTAAAATTAGAGACAGACAAAACAAAGATTTTTTTTTTGTTTCACAACAAAAAACATTTATAAATAATGATACAGTTGAAGTTCTGCTCCGTACCATGTTGAGAGCGTTAAGCGTGGTATCATCACGGGAAGCAGCTAAACAACCATCTTCTGTGGATCCACCATCACACATCCCTGCAAACGCTGCCATACTCCTTGAGAATAAAAACATATTTATGGTTTAAAAGGAGATCAAAACCGAAGGAACTCGTCCGATGTTTTGATCAATCTGAAGAGACTCGGCGCAAACACTGACCTGGCTGCTCTGAGATACATTAGAAGGTCACAGTCATTGACTCCCGGCGTCCACATGAGCTCCTCATTGTCTGCCTGAGTCTGTAAAGCAGGTGCAGGCCGGGGCTGCAGCTCTGGGAGCTTGGCCTGCAGAAACAATTACATTAAAAAATTTAATACGTTGCAATTTTCCTTACTGATGAAGTGCATGCTTGGACTATTTTAGGTTTTATGATGTCCTCCTCCTGTGTTAAATGGCTGGTTGTTTTACAATTTATTTCAGAAGAATGTTGTTTGTTTGTTAAGCCCCTTAACTTTGACCTACAAATTTAAAAAAAAATGCTCCTAAACTCAAGAAATGAAACAATGCTGTGATGAAACATAGCAGGCAACTTGATAAAGAATCAATTTAAAATGGGATATTTTAGTACTTTATTACTAACTGGCTGTTACATATCTATATATACCTGATGACTTGGTCCAACTCTTATCTCGCCTTGTGTGCTGTTCAGGCTCCTGTAATCAAAAATGTTAAAGGTTACATAACAATCAATTAAATAATAGTACATTTTTATACAATTGACAGCTGGTAGGTAAAAATGTGGAGTAAAATAAATTAAACTGAACTGTGGATGACCATTTCTCCTCAGAGCAGCTTCCCTCCCACTGATTGAACAGATTTCACAGGCAGCACAAAGTCCCGCCCCTCCACCCCCACCAGCCAATCGCAGCCCAGCTTTTCTTACATTACATGAGTGAAACCCGACTCCACAGCGGCCGCAAAACACTGTCAATCAATCACACATATGAGCTGCTAATTTTTTACGGTCACCATTACGGAACAGTTTGTGCTGCTTAACAGGTTGACAGTATCGTCAAATGAATGCCTGCTCGTTGTAGTTAACCTCAGCTAAACTGTGCAATCGATAATAAATATCAAGGTTAGCATGCGAGGCGTGTTAAAATACATTAGCAAGAGCCACATACATGCTCGTCCTGCCCCCCCCCCCCAAAAAAAAGTCCAGAGGATTTAAGAACAGTTGACCCATTAATTAAATGTGTTAACTATTCCTGTATGTATTGACACCGTACAGATCATATTTGCATATAAATAATTATTAGTTGCATTACAGCAACTAGAGGCATTTTGCCAACAGGAGCTGCTAGCTGCTAACGAGGTAACATCAGCGTAGCTTGTTAGCCACACACGAACTTCGTGACCACTGACACTCCGACTATTAGACACGAACGGCTCCGAAAGTAACGTCATGAACACCGAGAGACTAATTTAAAACAACTAGCCTGTAAATGCAACATAAACGATGAGTAAATTCAGCTACCTGCGCGGACTGAACAGGTCGTCCATGTCGACGGGTGTTTGGTTGTGGCTTGTTGACACTAACAGCAGCGCAGTAGGCGACACACACACACATACACACAT